TGTGAGGCTTTGAGGGGACATCTAGACAAACCATAACACCTAGCCTTTGACAGGTGGGGAAGCCAAGCCTTGTTTTCATCCCACAAGGTGCATTCTACCCTCTGCACACAAATCATAGTCTGTGCTGTCCAATCCCAGGCTGGAGCCCAGGGCTAACACATGACGAGTGTAACATCTATTCCAGGTACCAGTGGAGGTCTTGCATACCTAGTCATGACAGAACCAGGCAGGGAACATGCACCTGCCTGACCACCCCCATGTCCTTCCTCTCTACAGGGAACTTCCAATGGATTGGGGTCCATAGATGACATCGAAACAGGTAGTGTCCCTGATAAAGAGGACAGGGTAGAAATGAGAACCAGCCTGTAGAGAGTCCAGTGGGTTAGGACAGATGGCTCTTCTCCGGCTGGTCCCTGGGGTTCCCTCCAGACCTCCCTTCCACAGGGACCCGCTACCTCTAAAGCCCTCCTCCTCCCTTCCTCATTAGCTGCCAGAGTTGCACCTTATCAGTGACTTTTGGAGGGCTGTGTGTTCCCCAGAGGAAGGTGGCAATTGTGGCTGTCCAGCCAGAACCAAGGCCAGCCTGCCATACTGTGACACTGAGGGGCCTCTCTGGCTGCACCAATGTCCTGCCCTCTGGAGGCAGGCAGCAATGAGGCAGGGTCCCTGGCGGAGCTAGGGAAGACAAGGTGCTAGCCAAGTGCCCTGAGCCCCGGGACTCCTTGTCCATCCCCGTCCCGTGGCATCCCTGCAGCCCCTGAGTCCACCTCCTCCACAGACTGCTATGTGGACCTGCGAGGATCCCCAGTTCTGCTCCCCTCCACCCCCACGATGCCCCTATTTCCTCATGTCCTGGACCTGCTGGCCCCCCTGGACAGTAGCAGCAGGGCCGCCCCCAGTACAGACAGCTTGGATGACTTCTCAGATGGGGACGTCTTTGGTCCGGAGCTGGACACCCTCCTGGACTCGCTGGTGAGCCACATACCACCACTCTCTTGCTTCCTAAACTCTACCCCCTGAAGTCCCTTGGTCCCACAGTGGCATCCCTGCTGGGGAAGCAGAGGCCTTGGGAGGGACTGACCTGCCTAGAAACACCCACCCCTAGAAGGGATGGAAGGCCGAGGCCAAGCCATAGGGAGCGGCAGCTCGCTTGCTTCCTGGACTGCCTGACTGCTTCTGTCCTGCTCTTAGTCTCTGGTCCAGGGTGGCCTGCCTGGTGGTGGTGTGCCCAGCGAGCTGCCCCAGCTGATTCCTGTGTTCCCTGGTGGGACCCCACTACTGCCACCTGTGGTGGGCGGCTCCATCCCCGTCTCCAGCCCGCTGCCCCCTGCCTCCTTTGGCCTTGTCATGGATCCTTCCAAGAAGCTGGCAGCCTCTGTGCTGGATGCCCTGGACCCCCCAGGCCCCACGCTGGACCCCCTGGACCTGCTGCCGTACTCAGAGACCCGGCTGGATGCCCTTGACAGCTTTGGGTCAGCCCGGGGCTCATTGGACAAGCCGGACTCCTTTATGGGTGAGGCCTCTATACCCCGCTCCTCAGTAGTCTGCAAGGACCCATCACACGTTGGCCTCTGGAGGGTAGAGGGGTTGCCATGTGGAGCCCAGCCTCGGTCTGGGAGTCCTGGTCAAGTCCAAAAGGCAGAGTGGCAGGAGCTGCGGACCCTGGGGACCCAGGCCGGTGTTCTTAGTGCAGCCCCTTAGGCTAGGGGGAGGGGTGCCAAGGATCCAGAGGAAACTGACCCATCTGGGCCCTCATGGAACCAGCTTCCCAAGGTCAGATGTAGTCTGCACTGTGGAGGGACCTGAGAAGCTATGAAGGCACAGAAGGGCTGAGATGACTCCCTGGAGGAGGCAGGGTGCAGCTAGGTCTGGGGAGAAGTTCAGCAGCTGGCAGAAGGATCAGGGGTTCAGGCCCCAGAGGTGGAAGGGTCGGGCACCACACCAGGGGGGCACGGGTGGGGCACAGTCTCCATGGAGCCAGGAGCCAGACCAAGCCTGGGCTTCTGCAGGGGTCTTGGTGCATGCCTTGAGGCTGTGGCTAAGAGAACAGGCAGAGCAGGGCCCAGCAAGAGTAGATGAGGGGGGCCGGGGAGATGGCTCAGTAGAATAAGTACTTCCCTGGCAAACACAAGGGTCTGAGTTCAATCCCCGGTTCCACAAAAAAAAAAAAAAAAAAAAAAAAGAGTAGGTGAGGACGCAGAACCTGGCGCTTCTCAAGAGGCCTGGGGAGCCCCTCATGCCTTCAGTGGCAGGGCAGTGACCCCTGTGTCATCCCCCCACCCAGAGGAGACCAACTCACAGGAGCACCGGCCCCCAAGCAGCACTCAGAAGCCAGCGCCGTCGGTGAGTCAGCCGCTCACAGACCAGGCCCACAGGCCTCAGGGTGGCGGTGGGGCGGGCTCCCTCACTGATGCTGCGAACCCTGGGATGATAGTCAGGCTTGTGGACCACAAGGGCTGCAAGGGTCTGGGCTCCAGTCCTACTTTTGGGCAGGGCAGGCGATCAGAGGACACCCCCACTCCAAGCCCAGTGTTCCCAGCCTCCTCTGTTAACAGCCGGAGCCCTCCATGCCCAACACCGCCTTGCTCATCAAGAACCCCTTGGCTGCCACCCATGAGTTCAAGCAGGCATGCCAGCTGTGCTACCCCAAGACAGGTAAGGCACAGCCATGGCCAAATGCCCTGCCCCCGAGTGGGCAAGGACTTCAGAGCATGGGCACACAGGTGGGAGGTGCACATGCACTCTGAAAACAAGCCCTTTTGGGTGGGCGAGGAAGGCTGCCCTGGGGTCCTGGCCTCTGTCGGGCTCCCACCTCTTAAGGCTCTCTCTCGAAACCCTGGGATGGGCAGGTCCGACATGGATCACGGTCAGGGTGGTGGTAGAGAGGGGTTGGGGAGATGATGGCTCCCAGGAGCCCCTACTCCAGCCTGCTGTTTCTAGAGAGAACGTAGCTTAGCAGGAAGCTGCGAGAGGCCCCAATAGGACAGGTGGCCTTTCTGATCCCCACCCTGCTGGGGTCTGTGCTCATCCTTGTCCTCATCACCCCTTGGCTCTGCCAGGCTCACGGTCTCACTGTCCCTGCCCACCTTGTCCAGGCCCCAGGGCCGGCGACTACACCTACCGTGAGGGCCTGGAGCACAAGTGCAAGCGGGACACCCTGCTTGGGCGGCTTCGCAGTGCCGAGGACCAGACCTGGAAGCGCATCCGGCCACGGCCCACCAAGACCAGCTTTGTGGGCTCCTACTACCTGTGCAAAGGTGAGTGGACTGTGGCCTAGGCCCGCATTCCTCATTCCAGCCGCGGCTGGTCCCAGGGGCAGTCGTGGCCCTCATGGCTTCAGGGGAGGTTGGGAACGTCTCCTGGGGCCCTGGCTCCAGAACAGGTGAGTAGCACTCAGGATATATCTTCAGCCAGCTCCCTGGGGTGGCCTGGGCTCTGGAGAGCGAGGGTCCCTGTCAAGGAGAGCTGATCTTTCCTACTGGAGGCTGCAGAGAGAATCCATAGGAAATGCTTGGGATTGGCACGTAGGATAGGAAGGCTTTGTAAAGTCAGTTCTTGTTTCTGTTCTCCCCAGTACTGGGTTTCTACCCCGTGCCTTTGCCCTGGGCCTCCTCCCTAGCCTTTTCTTACTTTGTATTTTGAGACAATTGCTGAGTTTCCCAGACTGGGCTCGAATTTGGAGTCCTGCCTCAGCCTCCTAGAGTGCTAGGATGACAGGTCTTACCCCTACCCCCGCCCCCAGGGCCTGGCAGTGAGTTCTGTTTCATGATTACATTATTGGCGTTGTCCTTGCTCTGTGTCATGGCAGCTTGGTCAGCACTGAGTAGTCATTCATCATGTGCCTTATTCGCTTGTTTCTCTTTCCAACATGTCCTGTCCATGGCTCATGAATGGGCATGGGATCAAGGGCTCCCTCTGTCGCCCTTTCCCTTTACCACAAGGCACCTTTATACCTCTGAATAAGGAAACAGGCTCAGAAAGGCCACCCTAGGCTTTGGCCCTGACCCAGCTGGTGGCAGTCATCCATTGAGTTTCTGGACCACTTCGCTGTCCTCCCTGCAGCCCTGCCCATGGCCTTTCGGTTCCCACATCTAACTCCTTATCTCCTGCCCTAGCCATGCTCCAAATACCCCTACCCCAACTCCATAGCACACCCTGATGATGCTCAGTTCTTGGGGACCGCCTCAAGCCGCATTTCCCTGCACCTGTCTCCATTAGCACCCAGGGATGGTGCCTGCTCCTCTGGGTCTGTGGCCTGAGTTTCCTTGTGCCTGGACCCTGGCAGAGGTTCGGATAGGATGGACTCAGAAGGAGCATGAGGAACTGGTGTGCACACAGCTGTACACCCAGCACGCAGACAGAAAGATCACCGCTAACTTAAGGGCAGCCTGTACTACATAGCCAGACCTGTCACAACCAAACATACAAAAAAGCAGCAGGGAAAATAAGGGCTCACCCCGGGAGGCAGCTCTGCACTGTCCAAGCCACAGAGTTGGACTGATTATCCCACACAGCCCCACAAACTACTATTCTGTGTTCACAGAAAAGATAGTTGCAGCTTGGGGATGACAGAGAATTCCAAAGCTGACCAAGTCGTAGACTGAGGTTCTTAGTCCTGAGATTCCAATTTCTTCAAACTGCTCTGATGGCGCAGAGGCCGATACATCTCTACGAAGCCCCTTTGCTGCTTTTTGCCAAGCTCAGCCTGCTAAAGACAGTTGTGGGAAGGAGTGATGTCTGAGCTCCACAGGTGCCAGACAGAGGGGGCATGGGCATGGCATCCTCAGGGGGCAGCAGGCACCAGCACCCCGCCTGGTGGCGCCAAGATAGCCTGGCCACAGTGGGTTGTGGGGGCACTGTGGGCTCCCGTCCCCGCCTGGCGGAACTGTGTCCTGTTGCCTCTTTGCAGACATGATTAACAAGCAGGACTGTAAGTACGGGGATAACTGCACCTTCGCCTACCATCAGGAGGAGATCGACGTGTGGACTGAGGAGCGGAAGGGCACCCTCAACCGTGACCTGCTCTTCGACCCGCTGGGTGGCGTCAAGCGCGGCAGCCTCACCATTGCCAAGCTCCTCAAGGAGCACCAGGGCATCTTCACCTTCCTCTGTGAGGTACCTGCCGCCTGCCCCCACCACCTCTGCCTCCCCTAGGTCCAGGGTGCATGTAGGGCTGGGTGCCTCTTGCCATAGCTCAGCGTGGGAGCCTGACATAGACCCCTGGGCTATCAGAGAGGCGGGCCCTGAGTCTGCTAGACCCGAGATCTTTCCTGCACCCTCATTCTGCAGAGGTGGAAACTGAGGCCAGAAAAATGAGAGGCGCTCTGCACCTGTTCTTCTCTGGGAGCCAGTCACAGGCTAGGCTTTAGGTCTTTGTCCCCACCTCCTGGCAGTGTCCCTTTATGCTCACATGCTGGGCTCCAGAGAAGTGAAGCACTGCCCAGAGCCCACACTGCTAGATCAGAGCAGAGCTGAGCTGAGCTCGGAGGCCAGGACCCATGGGACCAGACACACGGGGTTGCCCAGCATGGCCCTGGGTCCTGCATTGTGGATGTGTGGTTGAGGGAGCTTAGCTGAGCAGAGCAAGCTGTCCACAGCCGTGCATCCCACACCCTCCAGCACATCTGGCCATGCCAGCTTCAGTGCCCACTGCCCTTCCTGCCTGTGTCCTGGCAAGCCCTCCCCAGAGAGCTCCCTGTGTTCTGAGCCTCAGACCCCCCCACCCCCTGAGCTCAGCTCTGATCCCAGCCCTTCCACTGAGAAGAACCTGCTGGGCCTCAGGTGATCTTGCCCTGCCTCCCTCGCCTGCCCTAGCTTGGCAAGGGGCAGGAGCAGCACTGTGTCCATCTGTGGCGCAGGAGCGCCTGTCCTGCCTTACTGGCAGGGTTTGGTATAGTTCAGTCCTGCTCCATCCGCAGCGTGGCCTGCCCCTTCCCTGACCTTAATGTTGGCAGATGAGTGCCTGCTTGCTCAGGGATGGGGGTCTGGGGTTCATACGAGGCAGCAGAATGTAGGTTACAAAACACCTGTAGTTTCTTTTTTATATATATATTTTTTAACTTCAGTGAATTTGTGGGACAAAGCAAGTGTGACTGTCCTGTTTAGCAATTGAGGAAACTGAGACTGAGAGACATGAACTCCCTGCCCCTGGCATTTGGATTGGTGGTACCTCAGAAAGGGAAGAAAGAATAAGGGACCCGTAGCCAGGTCATCTGTGGGTTAGAGCCAGGGATGTGAGAGAAAGACTTTGGGACTCTCTTGCTCACTCCCCTGACCCAGCGCAGGGCGTAGGGGAACCAGCCGTCCTTGCCCAGATGTCCCTGCAGGGTCCCAGCCCCTCCCCTTCCTGGGCAGATTTGCTTTGACAGTAAGCCCCGGATCATCAGCAAAGGCACCAAAGACTCTCCGTCCGTCTGCTCCAACTTGGCTGCCAAGCACGGCTTCTACAACAACAAGTGAGTGGGAACCGGGGGCGGCCAGAGAGTCCCGAGTGGCTCAGATGGCCAGGAACAGCGAAAGCCAAAGAGTAGACCCGGGCCAGCAAGCAGCTCAGCAGTCTAAAGCACCTGCTTAGGCAAGCGCACTGGGGCCGCGGTTCAGTCCCGGCGCTACCTGCCTTGCCAGCAGGGCTGAGCCGGCCACAAAAAAAAAAAAAAAAAAATCAAAACAAAGAGTAGACCTAAGGAGTCTGTGCAGAGGCAAGAGACGTTTATTGGTCAGCTGTTACATTCCAAGCATTTAATAATCTCAGCGGTCCTCTGGGAGCAGCACTTGTTCCTCTTGGACAGAAGGGAAAGCTGAGCCTCCGGAGCAGCTCAGCCGGCAGGCAGTGCAGGACCAGGTCTCTGCCACCTGCCACTGCCCTGATGTCAACACCAGGCGGGGAGAGGAGGCTGGGTCAGGCCTGGTGTCCCTGCCTTTGTCCCATCTCCCCCCAGTTCTGCAGCGTCCCAGAGTGGGTGATGGGGCTGGGGTCCCAAAACCAGGCATGCGTAACTCACATCACAGCCTGGTCAGAGGCCCAGTTTCTGATGCTGGCTCGCTGTTGCCACCTTGGGTTCCTCTTCTGCAAGACTGGGGATGATCTGATCTATTATTCTGAGGAGGGTCATAGAGATTCCTGGCCCAGTTGCCTGTGGTAGCACATGGCCATAATTCTAGTACTCTGAGAGGCTGAGGAAGGGTAGCAAGTTCAGGCCCAGCCTAGACAACTTAGCAATCAGTCAATCAATAAAATAAGTCTGGTGATGCAGTCAGCATGAAGGTCCCATATTCCATCCTCAGTACCCCAAAAGACAAAAGGAGTTCCAGGGTGAGAGAAAGTTTTCCGTTATTGTTCATCTTGGAGCTCTGGATCTTGGAGTCAGAAATCTAAAGGAGCTGCCTCCTGTCCCCCAACAGGCATGCCCCCTCCCAGTCTTGTGGCAGGCAGGATCTGGCACCCTCTGTTCGTTGTCATCTGCAGGTTGAACTGGCTCCAGGCTAAAGCCTGAGCAAGGGGACACTACGGCAAAGTTAGGGTGCAAGCCCAGGGCAACCCCAGGGCAGGCTCCCCACCTCTTCCACGCTGGGATGGCTTCACAGGGCAGGGGCTGCTGAGGGAGAAGCCCACCCTCACACCTGCAGCTGGGGGGCCAGCATCCTGTCGCAGCAGAGACGTGGAGGGTCGGCTGCAGGCTACATCCATCAGTCACGCCCTCCCCTGCCCACCCGCCAGGTGCCTGGTGCACATTGTCCGCTCCACCTCCCTCAAGTACTCCAAGATCCGCCAGTTCCAAGAGCACTTCCAGTTCGACGTGTGCCGCCATGAGGTGCGCTACGGCTGCCTGCGGGAGGACAGTTGCCACTTTGCCCACAGTTTCATCGAGCTCAAGGTGTGGCTGCTGCAGCAGTACTCAGGTGAGCAGTACTGAGCCTCCAGCTGGCCAAGGCCCTTGCTCCAGAGAACATACATCTGCACCAGGGACAGGACAGGCACTGACCTGGGGACACGGCCCGCTCTCTGAGGCTGTAATTTAAATACCGGCAGTAGAGAGGCCTTGCATAAAATGTTGCCCATCTGATGTCTTCTTCAGTAAGGAGTGTCAGATTTCAGATGTGCGGCAGTGCGTAGGAGAGAGCCGTGGGCGTTTCCTGAGGGGCAGTGGGAGAAGACCTCTGGGCGGAAAGGGCAGGCCGCGAGCAGCAAGGCTGGGGGCCCCGAGGCGGGGGAAGCCTGTCTGTGGGGGTGGACAGTGAACAGGGCCAGCAGGGCTTTGGCCTAAGTAGAAATATAGTCATGTGGCCAAGTATGAGCGCGCACCTGAAATCCAGCACTCGGCGCAAGTTAGGAGCATGAGGCCAGCTTAGGCTACATAGTGATTTTTTGTGTGTGTGTGTGTGTAACCGGGGATTGAACTCAGGGCCCTGTGCTTATTCCACTGAGCCATCTCCCCAGCCCTACATAGTGAATTAAAGGTTTTTTTTTTTTTTTTTTTTTTTTTT